AGCATTCTATGGGCTTTTCTCTTCAGGCAGGAGAAATCGAACAGCAGAAGCAAAGCAGAGCTGCGGGAATGAGCGAGAAGTAGGGAGAAGCCAGCCAACCTTAGGAGTGACAGCATGCCACCCTACTTTTAGAAACACCTAGAGCAGTGGTTCTCAACCTTCCTAATGCCACAACCCTTTAATACAACTCCTCATGTTGTGGTGACGTGACCCCCCCCAACCATAAAATTATTTTCGTTGCTACTTCATCACTGTAATTTTGCTACTGTTATGAATCGGGCGACCCTGTGAAACGGTTGTTTGACATACACACACCCCCAAAGGGATCGCAACCCACAGGTTGAGAACTGCTGACTTAGAGGCATTGTTTGCCATCCACTGCCCCTCCCAGATTCAGACCTCATCCTTTTTATTACTAATGTTATGAAAATATAAGCAGCAAAACATTTGTCAACAATGTCTGCATGTAAAACTCAGTGGCACACTGATGACATTCTTCATAGTGTCCCTTATTCCACCAACACTATAAAGTTCATCTTAAGCCTTACAATTCCCCCTCATTTTGGTTAAAAATCTTTTTCCATCATGTTTTCTTTCTGGATCTCTTTTAATGCTTTTCAAGCTTTTTGAGGAAGGCTTGGTTGCTGGTGCCATTTTTATGTTTTAAATCATTTTTAATGAGTGATCGTAGAATGGACCCTTAGAGGCTACAAACAAACAAGGATTCCAGGACTCTGTTTTCTTTTAGTGAGTCACTAAAAATGCCTAACTAGAACCTGAAGCTCTTGTGAAGCTCAACTAGAAATTAAAATTTATTAGACTTACTATTTTAAGTTTGAATGGAAATTAACAGATTTTGTCTCTGTTTAGGAAAAATTGACAATATACAATCCGAATTACCCCTCAAAAAGTCTTTCTCTACTTTTCTAGTATTTAGGAATAGAAAACTGGGAGTTTGCTCATCCCTGGTACCAAACAGGAACCTTGGTTGGACAACGGCTGGTCTGCCAGCTGGTCAGAGAAAGGTGGCGGTTTGAACCACCCAGCATCTTCACTGTTAAAGGTGGCTGGCTGCTTCGCTAATGATGCTGGCCAAGAAACCCTCTCACGTGGGTTGGCTGTGGGTTGGTATTGAACTGACATGAAACTTTAAAAGACGGTCAGTTAGACACTTCCCATTTAAAATGGACTCCCCTGAAAGAATTAATTTTTTAATCTTTTCATGTTTATAAAATAATCAGTATATTAAGCCCTTTTATGTGTATCTTGCTGGCCTAGGTGTGGTACAGAACAAAATTTAAAGAGCAGATATATTCGCGTTCAAAAGAGTGCTTATATGAACACTATAACTTAACCTGTCCTCACATCTGTAAGAAGTTGCTATAAATCTACACTGGTTCAGTTCTGTGTCCTTCTTACAGGATGCACTGCCCATACCCTATAGTAGCCTTTCTGTCCTAGGGTGGCATGCAGCAAAGCAAAGTTTCATGATGCTGTGTTCTTATAAGTAGGCAGGCATATGTCAACTGGAATATTGCCTGAGCTTGTGATTTGATTGGACTTAGTGCTGTGGGTGCAATTTCTGTATCTAGTAGTAACAGTCTTCTCTTGATGATGGTAGATAGTCAGTGCACACACATTTCAAAGCAAAACCCAGTGGTATTGAGTAGATGGGACCTCGGAGGACGGAACCGGTATGCTCCATAGGGTTTCCAGGTTGCACGTTTTCACAGAAGCCGACTGCCTCGCCTTGTCACACAAAGTGCTGGTGAATTAGAACCACTGACCTGTTGGATAGCACCCACATGTAACCCCTTGCACCATTAGGGGTCCTCTTACACACACACACACACACACACACACACACACACACACACGATGAAGGAGCCCTAGTGATGCAATGAGTCAAACTCTCAACTGCTAATCAGAAGGTGAAACTTTGGGAGAAAGATCCATTAAGGCTGTAGCCTTGGAAACCCTATTCAGCATTTCCATTCTGTCAAATAAGGTCCTTGTTATAAGTCAAAATGGGCTTGATGGCACTGGGTTTAGTTTGGGCTATGTAGACATTGTGTTAATAGCCCATTCCGACCATAGTAACCCTGTGCACAACACAAAGAAACACTGCTGGGTCCTGCACCATCCTCACATTGTACCTGTGCTTGAACCCATTGTTACAGCCATTGTATCAGTCCATTTCTTAGAGGACCTTCCCTCTTCTTTGCTGCCCCTCTTCTGTCCAAGCATGGTATCCTTCTCCAGGGGCTGGTCTCTCCTGGCATCATGGCCATAGTAAGTGAGATGAACAGCATCGTTGCCTCTGAGGAGAACTCTGGCCATACATACTTTTCCAAGACGGATTGGTGTTCCCTTTTGGCAGTCCGTGGTACTTTCAGTATTCTTCACCAGCATCACCATTCAAACACATCGATTCTTCTTCAGTCTTCCTGATTCACTACCAGCTTTCGAAAACACCACGGCTTGGGTCAGGTGCACTTTTGCCCTCAAAGTAACAAAACATCTTTGTTCCTCAGCACTCTAGTGAGGCCTTGTGCTGCAGATTTACCCAATGCAATGTATTGCTTGAGCTCTTGTGTGTGTGTGTGGGGTGGGGGGTGGGGGGCGGAGGGAAACACAATGTTAACAATAATTTTTCTAAACCAAAACATTTAATTTTCCCAAAGCTTTGTCAGTAACAGAGATGAAAATAAATTTCAAGAATCTGACACAGCTGTTTTCCAGCAGGTTTTGGTGATTGTATATGTGTGCCCATGCACCCACTGATTGGTTACGATTCTAATGATAGTTTTTAAATTGTTTTTTCTCTTTTCTCCTAGATAAATATTATCTATCCAGATGGTGTAAGGATTTAGAAAAATTCCTCGGAACTCTGTTCTCTTTGTTAGGTCCCCTGAGTTTCTGCTCCTACAGCTCTCTGAGTTCACTATCAGTGGTGCAAAATTTAAACTAATTGTCAAAATAATCTTACTGGCACCGTTCTGCCCATGGTAGGTCATATGATCAGTGATAGAGAGCAGTATTTTTATTTCAGGGCTTCATGGGGAAGTTAGAGAAGAATGTTTCTTTTTCCTAGGGCCTCAATATATTTATAAGCACTTCTGTCAAAATTTCAATGGGATAAGCCTAAAGAGTCTTAATTTAAACTTAATAACCTTGAGGAAAATGCCCAGTTAAGCAGATTAAAGATCAAGTTAAGTAACTGAATAGAAAGCAGAAAAAAATAGCACACCAATTGTTTGATTAATCTACTCTTTATATGTGTACTATTAATAGTACTATTGAAGTGTTTTTAAATTGCTCAGAATCTTAATTATTGATGATAATTATGTTTTAATAATTAAAATTTAAACTTCTCTATCCCAAATATTTTCCTTATGATTTGAATACCCTGGCCGGAGCTATTTATATTTGCATTAATCTGACATGTTACATTTTTACTTTCTTTGAAAATGTATATATAGAGTTAAATTTACAGTTCACACAGATTCTTAATTCAAGTTTAAAGATTTATTTACATTCTCTGAAATTGTTGTCTGTGGATTGGACAATATGTTATTATTTGCAAATAAAAGTAATTTTCATTACATTGCTTTTTAAAAATAGTGATTAAAATTTATTTTATTTTTTTTTTTTTCCTATCAAGAAACGGATGAAGAGAGGCTGCTGGATCCAGGGCTGAAGGTTTACAATGGCCTCTGGGAATATACTCTGAAACCCCAGCCGATGGAATGCTTGAGTGACTGAAGAAAATGGGTGCTAATGCATCTAACTATCCTCACTCATGTTCCCCGAGGGTCGGGGCAAATTCACAAGCCCAGCAGACCTTTATAGGTAACTCCTCCAGTTCCCTGATTTCATGGTTTCTGGTGTTCCATAGTCTTTGTTGGTAAGAAGATACGTGAGCTTTGGGGATTGTTGTTATAGATAATAATTCTGCGGCATTTAGACACCCTCCCAAACAAGAGTAGAGCTCACATTTGCAACATGTTTATCCTAACCAAATTGCTGTGGCACAATTGCTCTTTTTGGTGTATTATCTGACCATAATTGGCAATTATTCTAACTGAAATAGCAATCCCCACTGGTGTACAACAGTAAAATACTTGTTTCTTGTGTCCTGGTTCACTTATTTGCCCATAGAAATGCATCATCGATGTAGTTAAGAAGGAAAAGAGACATATCCCAATTGTATGCAAGTAATCTGAATTTAGGAATCCGTCTGTCTAGCGTTCTTTTCCTGAAAGTCCATGATTAAGATCTGTGAAATGTGGCACTTTATAACCAGAGAGCCAGAAACGTGTATTTTAAAGTTCAGAATAATTTGCTCTGTTCCTGCTTCTTAGTTAATATAAAATTGAGTTATTTGATAATTTTATTTTCCATTACATAAACTAGTCAGTTTTATTTCAGTGGTTCAGCTGTGTCTTGTAAGTTTTTTGGCATGAAAATAAACAGCAGTTGGACATGAAGGTTAAAGACAAATAACCAATGTTCTTGTGTTTTGCTCTTTTCTAAGGAACATCCTCCTTTTCCCAGCAAGGCTATGGTTGTGAGTCAAAATTGTATAGCCTTGACCATGGCCACGAGAAACCACAAGACAAAAAAAAGAGGACCTCAGGCCTTGCCACCCTCAAAAAGAAGTTTATTAAGCGTCGGAAATCCAACCGGTCTGCGGATCACTCCAAGCAGATGCGAGAGCTCCTGTCTGGGTGGGATGTTAGGGATGTCAATGCGCTAGTGGAGGAATACGAGGGCACGTCAGCCTTAAAGGAGCTTTCGCTACAAGCCAGTTTGGCTCGGACGGAAGCCCGGACGTTGCAGAAAGATATGGCCGATCTGTATGAGTACAAGTATTGTACGGATGTTGACTTAATATTTCAAGAAACTTGTTTTCCTGTTCATCGTGCCATTTTGGCGGCCAGGTGTCCATTTTTTAAAACGCTGCTTTCTTCCTCACCCGAGTACGGAGCAGAGATAATAATGGACATCAACACAGCTGGGATAGATATGCCTATGTTTTCTGCTTTGTTACACTACCTGTACACAGGAGAGTTTGGGATGGAGGACTCAAGGTTTCAAAATGTTGATATCCTCGTGCAGCTGAGTGAAGAATTTGGAACGCCTAATTCCCTGGATGTAGATATGCGTGGACTCTTCGATTACATGTGTTATTATGATGTTGTCCTTAGTTTTTCTTCAGACTCTGAACTGGTTGAAGCTTTTGGTGGAAATCAGACCTGCTTAGATGAAGAGCTCAAAGCTCATAAGGCTGTTATTTCAGCCCGGTCCCCATTTTTTCGGAATTTATTGCAAAGGAGGATACGGACTGGGGAAGAAATCACAGACCGGACTCTGAGGACTCCCACAAGAATTATATTAGATGAGTCCATTATACCAAAAAAATATGCGAAAGTGATCCTACACTGTATGTACACCGACGTGGTGGACCTCTCTGTTCTGCACTGCAGCCCCTCGGTGGGGAGCCTCAGTGAAGTGCAGGCTCTGGTCGCAGGAAAGCCTGACGTGACCAGAGCAGAAGCGGCCATGGAGCTTTACCCCATTGCACTGTTCCTGGAGTTTAACATGCTGGCACAAGGTAAGAAAGGCGGGGCTCTCTCTCGGGTTATATTGGTCTTCCAGATTGAACTCACAACCAACACCTTCTGTGATTTCTGTCTTTGGGGTGTGTGATTGGGTCAGGAATTTTGTGTGAACCCATTTTTTGGACAGCTGCGACAGAGTTGAGGGCCAGTATGATTGTGGATCTTCATTGGGTATTAAACCCAAGCATTCAAAACTTAAGTGCTTTAAATGAGTTTTGATGCTCTCGTCCCTACTGTAAGATGGACATAAAATTACCCAACTACCACTCTTCTATACGCTACCTCTGTCCAAGGTTTGAATTAGCCTATTCTCCTTGATTTTAAGATTTTTCTTGATCAAAATCTCCTTGGGTAACTTAGTTTCTCAAATTCAATGCCTTTTGATATTTAGATGTTAGAATAAGAAGAAAAAGTCACTACCCTCTCAAAAAAACATATTACAGAAAATGATGGTCTTCAGTTACAAAGGTCTTTGACTCAAAGAATTGGCCAGGGCTTCAGATTTATATTACACAATAAACTCAGAAACTCAAATCCACTACCTTTGAGTCGATTCCAATCCCCAGCGACCCTCTAAGACAAGGTGGAGCTGCCCTTAGGGGTTTCTAAGACTGTAACTTTTTATGGGAGTAGAAAACTTCCCTCGTTCTCCCTCAGAGTGGCTGGTGATTTCAAACTGCTGACCTTGTGGCTAGCAGCTCAATGCATGACCACTACCCAATGAGGGCTCCTTACATTAGCCTGCATATTATTTTCAAGATCAACCTGTATAGCAAGCCTACAGCAAGTAAGGCACAATGAGTGCTCGACTGATTGCATCCCTTCATTATATAATTTAAACTTGAATTCTGAATTTAGGACAGTATATTGTTTATGTTATAGGCAAATGAATACATGAGAGTCACAGTCTGTAAGTTAATGCACGTAAAAAGTATACACCTGTTGGGAAGTGTCAGACTTCTCTTGTTAGAGCTGGAAAGACACCTTCCAGCAGGGATCAGAAAGAGTTTGCTGTTCATCGATCGCTATGGCCAGAGAACACAAACTTTGAAAACAAGATTACTGAAGAATTTAATTTAGTCAATGCGTATTTGCTAAAGCACTAGAAATTGCCAATTAAAAGAAGTGTAGGTAAGAAGACACGTGTTTAAATACAGAACACTAAGCACAGTTTTTCTAACTTCAGAATTTTGTGTATTGAATTGCTAGCTCAACAGGTCAATAGGGTTGGGGTGGGGAAACCCCAGTCCAGTGACAGTGTAGTAAATGGGAAGAGTGATGCAGATACGGGCATTGTAAACACAAGCAGTGACTGTTCATTTACCCTGGAAAACCAGCTTTATCAGAAAATACCTTTACCAAAATAACTTTAAAAGTACATTACTGTAAAGGTATACTTATGCTCTGTTTGCTCAGATTGCTATTTTTTGACAAATTTAATAATAAGAAACCCAAGTATATTGTTATAAGCATTGCTGTTTAAAAATATATGAGAAAGAATTTCCTAATACAGTTTTGAAAACCCGTTTTAAACGAAAAGTAAAATAAATTGTGGGCCAGCTTTTAGTTCTCTGTTAAGGCTTGATTACTTAATCTTGAGTTCTTTTTCCTTTTTAAGCGAGTTAAAAACTTTTGGCAGGGGAGTCATTTAGCTAGAAATTTTACTTTGTTCAGTGTATTAAAATATGTAAAATAGCACTCTTTTAAATAATCAGTTAATTTTGAGTATGCAGAGCTCTTCTGTTTTCTTTTGTTGTTACAAGGTTTTGTGGTAAGTCCATTGAGGAAAAGCTCCACGTAGGCCTTCTTTTTCTCCCACATAATCCTGCCATCATGGCTTACCATTTTAATAAGACTGTTCACCTCCTTTTCATGGGTGGGGGACTATTTGAGCGTTTGAGAGCTTAGGTTCTGAAACTGGACAGACTAGATTTGAAATCCGCTTGACCATGTCTTAGCTTGTTAGCGTTCAGCAAGTCACTTAACCTCTCTAGGGCCCTGTTTTCTCCTTTGTAAAATAGAATAGTAACCCTATGAGGTGGGATTACAAGGATTAAAGGAAGTGATATACGTTAACTGATCTGAATAGTGCCAAATACATAAGTCAGCGTTCTGTAAATGTTAGCTGCGCACTGATAATCTCACTTTTCAAAGTTTCACTGAATGTTTCAAACCTCTGGGAACAAAATATGCAGTCACCATTTGACCAGTTTTTGCCTGAAGAGAAATGCAAAATCTTGCAAGTCAACACAGAGGCCGCCCTGCCTGCCAGATTAATCACCAAGAAGGGTTGGTCAGAGCCAGCACCCTCTGCGCGACCCCACATTCTGGCCAGAAAATCCCGCCAGGCCACACCCACAGGCCCACTTTGAAAAGGAAAGCCCCAGAATCCCACCCAATTGCAGAGCGATGTTTGGGACTTGCAAAATTTCACCTTCTCTACTCCTTACAACAGCCTGTCTGGTGTTTGATTTTGTCTTTTAATTTTTTTTTGCACTTAACATGGAAGCACAGTTTTGATACCTTTGAGAGTTTCCGTTCACTCTCTAGGGAAACCAGCCAGGAAATACCGCATCCCATCTTCCCGTCCCCCACCCCCACAATAACCCACCAAAGCATTTACAAAAGGCGGGAGAGGCTAACGGGGCACAATTTCCAGTCTCCCCCCACCCGTTCCCCAAGTTTACATGCTTAGAAAAAAGAAAAGGGGCTCAGATGTGGTGAAACCATTTTCCTTACTGTCAAAGGCATCAACCAGGTTTGGAAAATTTGTTAAAAGGTTAAAAATTCATACAAAACCTGCTGTAAATTAAGACAAAGGTAGAGTTAAATGCTTCGGTATCTGTCTCTTAAATAAAGGAATGCTTTCCATAAAAAGCAAAGGTGGGCTTTTGCCTTGATGCGGAACAACGCTGGCTCTAGGGTTCTGTGCAAGTCTGCACAAAAAGATACATTCTCTGAAAAGTGTTTCCACTTAGTGTGAACTTCGATAGGACCAAGTTCAAAGGCAAATCACGATAAAAACTGCCATTGTCTTAAATTCTGCAGGCTAAGAGTTTCAGACAAGCTGCGGTGAAAAGCCACGGTTGAGAAACCCAGTGAAGCACAGGGACACAGCACGGACACTTTGGGTTTTGGAGTTCGAGAAAAGTGGAGTAAAAAGTTGATTTTGTGTGCAATACTTTTAGATGCTCTAGGAAGACCCAAAATCATGATAGCCGTAGCAGTCTGTGAAAAAGTCACCTACAAAGGGGGGAGACAGAGCAGAGAAAAAAAATTAGAATTCTTTTGAAGAAGGGCACAGAGCGCCACATTTGAGTTGCACGTTTTAGATTTCTCTGCCTCTGTGACCCCCCAGTGAAGGCTCCTTCCCCAGACAAGAGCTGTGCCCTGTCCGAAAACCGTACTCACTGGGTGGGCGCGGCGCATGGCTCACAGCAGAGAAATGTAAAATTTCCACTTTTAAGTAACTTTGAAGTCACACAACTCTGGGTGTTAACATTTACAGACTCCTGTCACATGGCTGCAGGGTAGGGGACCTGGCGACAGTCTGACCTAGCCACCAAAAAAAGGCAGGTGCCCCTCCTAGTCTCAGTGGGCAGCGGAGGGTGGGCAGCCCTGCTCTAACTCTGGCCCAGGCGCTTCACTACCACGTAGTCTTCTAAAAATAACCCTGAGTTTCAAAAAAGTGATTCTATAATTCCATTGATCAAACCAAATACTAAGAACGTATTATAGATTTTTGCTAGATAATTATTGATTTTAAGATCTTTAAATAAGATCACTAGCGAGTTGGTGTATACTTCTTATTGTGCTTATCAAGCTATCTAAACTATTTGGCTATTTGTGACTCTGCAAGCAGTTTTGGATCTTTTGTTTGTTTTTTTTCCCAACAGGAGTTCTGCAGTTACATTTAGAATATTCTGTGGCATCTGTTGTGTCGGATGTCTTCACTTCTCTCACATGCATCCAGCATGGCACGAGTTAGGTGCCATTTGGAGGAGAATTGAGAACGTAGTTACTGAAATAATTTTCTGCGCCCTGTGATTCAGATGAGGATTCCCAGTTAAGAAATCCTTGAGACTAGACAGTTGGGCAGTTTGTGGCTCTGACCATCTACAACCCAAAATCAAACTAAACTCACTGTCATCTGGTTAATTCCAACTCACAGAGACCCTATAGGACAAGCCGCAAGTCTCTACAGGAGCAGACAGCCTCATCTTTCCCCTGCAGAACAACTGGTGGGTTCAAATTCTGACCTGTAGTTTGAAGTCCAACACATAACTTATGTGCCACCAAGGGCTCCTTAGATATCATGTACAAAGGGGCTTCGAAAATATGTAGAACACTTTCATCATCTTTTAATTCCAGTTTCAATGAACATTTTCATGCTTCCTCACAATTCTGTCTTGTGTCTGCTGTAACTGAAATGTACTAGGCTTTCAGTTTATAGCATTGAAAAAAATGACTTGCCTTCACTTTCACCTTGAAGCCCAGTTTGAAAGTGAAATTCTATCATGGGTGGCTAGGTTTTGAGACAACACACACCCCTCAAGATGAAGAAGGTAATTAACATACACACACCCAGGGGATGAATAACAAATGTGGGTAAAGGGAGACAACTGACAGTGTAAGATACAAAATAATAATAATAATAATATATAATTGCTCAAGGATTTGCGAGGGGGGGAGGGAAAAAAGAGGAGCTTATACTAAGGGCTCAAGTAGAAAATGTTTTATATATGACGATGGCAACTTATATCCAAATATGCTTGATACAATCAATATATGGTATAAGAGCTGTAAGAGACCCCAAATGATTTTTTTTAAAAAGAAGGTCATTAAATTGGTTTCTGTGTTAGACAGGGTTCTCTAGAGCGACAAAACCAGACTGCTAGTAATTTTATATATATATATATATATATATATATATATAAAGATAGATAAATATATAACACACGAAATGAACAGTTACAATATATAAAGATAGATA